TGGGGTTTAGGGGTGCAAGTCCTCGGTTTGGTTTCGTGCTCCAAGGGTGCCCCAATTTTCTGCGCGACGAGCTAGCCCTACACCTTAAACATCCTTAAACACTAGACCCTAAACACACCGTCAAGGGATTGCATATGCAACCGGCATCAGGGCTTTATGTTGTGAGGGTTTGCATAAATATCATCTTGAAGACTCGAAACGCCTGAGCCCCAATCAGCCCCTTCCCACTCAAACAGTCATGGGCCGTTGTCCCAAAGTCTTTGAAACATACCCACGTAAGCATGAAGACCCTGCAAGAAACGCAAGTAAATCAAATAAACATAATGGAGTGCTTCAAAATATGTCCGTCAGTTCATAGAGCTCAGAGTTTGGGGCTTCGGATTTAGCGGCTACTTGTTCTAGCTCCGGCCACGGCTGGGACGTTGTGTGGAGAGCTGCTGCACTCAGGTTTAGGCTGTATACAGATGAGGGTTCAGGCCGGTTTAGGGTTTAGGGTTCAGGGTGCCCCATCGTACAAACAGGTTATTCGAGCGGGGTCAAGGATTGAAAATGTGCTCTTGGCACCGGAATTCAGAATCTCTAAACCGGACATGTCAGCGTAGACCCGCATCAGGTTTCTCAAACCATGGATTAGACTACAAGGGCTTTTGGGCTTTTCTGTTCTCCTCTACAAGCATGCGTCACTATTCCCATGCGTATACTCCAAACCTTTAACAAGTGCGACAAGGTACTCGTCCGCTCCCTCTTCCTCCTGCGGCGTCACCATTCATCGGCACGGCTCCTCAGCCAGGGTTCGGCACTGAGGCTGAGGGCTTAGAATCGGGCAGTATGTACCCTCATCCCCCAACCCCGTAAACCCTATAATCTAGACCACATAAACCCGATAAACCCTATAAGCCCGATAAAACCTATAAACCGGTAAGCCCGATAGGCCCTATCAGCCTTGAACCAGTATGAGGCTGGGGCTTTGCTGAGTTTCAAAGAAGCCTCCGAGCTCAAGCTGAAAATGATTTGAAAACGGAGTCCCTCTGGACTATGCTGAATTTAGAACCCTAGCAAAAATTATGATTTTAGCTGTTTCTTAGGGATTATAATAACCAAAAAGTCAAGGTTGTTTCTAAGTACCCCTAAGTGGAGTGTCCGAGGAGATTCAGGATGCAAAAACTGCTTAGGGCGTAGGGCTTAGAGTAAAAGGGAAAGGTCGGATGCGTGATTGTCAGGGTTCATCGCCCTGAACATGGAAACCACTCCGGTGAACACAAACCCTGCCCAGAGCCTCCAAAACCCCTTAATTAAGGAATATACCTTAAATTAGAATAGGATCCCTAATATGATTTAAGGTATATTCCTTAATTAAGGGGTTTTGGAGGCTCTGGGTGATGTAAAGTTTAGGGGCTGTCCCTGCCGAAGAAGAGACTGAGCAAACGAAAACTCCCAGACCGTCAGGCTACAGCTGAAACCCAACTGAGGAGTTCTTGCACCCTATACCCGTCGGGCATGTAACACCTGCAATATTTTTACGGCACCCTCGAACATTGAACACCAACAGTCTACCGATGAACCCCTGGCTCCTAAATCCTGCGACCTCTACTTTAAACCCTTGCGACCCAAGCCTCAAATTCTTCCAGTAAGCCCCGAAGCCCGAGTCCTACGCCTCCCAATTCAAAAAGCCTAAACCCAAACCCGAGCTCGGTATCCAATTTATTGAAATCACTAAACACCTCCTGTAGAGCCCTAACAATGACAGCACCTCTAAGACTTACCGAAGTATGAGGTGAAGCTCTAAACCCTGAACCTCAAAGTCTGACCCCTAACCCGCCAAAAAACCAGGCCCCTTAGCCTATTCGCCCAATTCCTAAAAGAAACACAGTCACCCCAAACCCTAGACCACTAAACTCTAAACCCCTCATCCCTAAACCCCTAAACCCAAAACCCCAAACTCCTAAACACTAAACCCCTAAACACCGAAACCCTCAACCCCTAAACATTAACCCAAAGTCCCAAAAGCCCCTAAACCCTGAAGCCCTTAAACCCTGAAGCCCTGAATTCCTAAACCCAAACGCCCTAAAGCTCTAAACACCCAAACCCAAAATCCTTAAACCCAAAAGCCTAAACCCAAAACCCTCAGGGCCCTAAACCCCTAAACCCAAAATCCTTAAGGCCCTAAGCCCCTAAACCCAACGTCCTCAGACCCAAAAGCCTAAACCCAAAACCCTTAAGGCCCTAAACCCCTATAGTAGAAGCCGAAAAGTTGGAAACCCAATAGCATCAATCCTTAAGAGTAATGAAAAGGGAATCCCAGCACTGTTTGGTCTTAATCCGGTTTCCAACTTTATGGGGTTTACTATAAGTAGGGTTATAAGTAGGGTAACTATACTAATACCTATATCCCCTTTTAGGGGGCTTACAACCCCACTCCCATGAACCTCTCGGTATACTCTACTGTAAACCTTAAAAGTCCTCAAAACCCCAAACCCTAAACCCCAAAAACCCCCAAAGTCCTCAAAACCCCAAACCCTAAACCCCTAAAGCCCCAAAAGTCCTCAAAACCCCAAACCCTAAACCCCTAAAGCCCCAAAAGTCCTCAAAACCCTAAGCCCAAAATCCTTCAGGCCCCGAGCCCCTAAAAACACCAAAACGTCCTTAAAACCCTATAGATACCATAGAGGAATCCCAGTACCCTTTAGAGGAACCCTAAACCCTAAAACCCCAAACCCCTAAGCCCTAAACCCTGAAAAACCCTTTAAACCCCTAAAAACCCCTAAAATCCTGAAAACCCTTGCGAGCCCCTTCGGTCCGAGGTACGGGGCCGCCACACCGATCTTCGGCGGAGCTCCCGAGAAAGGCTTTCGGGGTTAGGGTTTGGGGTTTGGGGTTTAGGGTTTTAAGGTTTCGGTTTCCTTTAAAGGGATCCAGAGGGTTTAGGGGTATAGGGTTTAGGGATGGGCTTTCGGATTTCAGGGTTATTGGGGTTGAGGGTTGTAGGGGTTCAGGGTGTTAGGGCATTAGGGGTTGTAGGCTTTAGTTTAGGGTTTAGGGTTTCAGGCGGCAGGGTTTTAAGGTTCTTAGGGCCGATTAATTGTTGATAATTTAGGGTCTGAAGCTTTAGCCTTCAGGGCTTTATCTATATGGGAGTTTCCGAAAATAGGGGTACTTTGGGGTGCTTATAATAAGGATCCTACTATTTAGGCCTACTATATTAGGGTTCCCTATTTTGGGAAACTCCCATATAGGGTTTTAGGGTTTTCAGGGTTTACTTGGGGCTTAGGGATGCGAGGGCCTGGAGTGGCCACTGTTTCGGCTCCGTTGCACAGGGGTTTAGGGCCTAGGGATTGCGGTTTAGGGCTGAGTTGAGGATTTCGGTTTGCCACTGAAGGCTCCTAGCATTCGTGTTTTATCACGACATCCGGGAATAGAAAGAGGTCTAAGGAAGAAACGATTTGAGGTTTGTCAAGGTGTCGGGGTTTCGGGTCTACGGGCACTAAGGACTTTCAGGATTAAGGGCATGAGGAATGTCTACTTGCTTGAGCCAGATCCGGAAGGTGGCCCCTGGTAATCAGGCTGTGCCAAAGACTTACATCACAGCTTCTCCCCTAAGCCTAAGTCGGGGTTATGGCGCAGAGCCATCGGCAGGAAAGACCCAAACTGAAAGCCGGGTTTCCGAACATAGGGGACCCTATTATAGCACCCGAAATAATAGGATCCCTTTATAACGACCCCAAAATACGGTACCCCTAATTTTCGGAAACTCCCTAAACCCTAAACCCTCTATAGAACCCTTATAGATCCCTTTAAGGAACCCTTAAAGGATCCCTTTAAAGGTACCCCGAATTGTCGGAAACTCCCAAATCACAAAAGCTCCCCTACCTGCCACGGGAGACCCTCGCAGACTCCCGGGCCCTCAGTCGCTTTCGAGGGTGTCGAGCCTTCGCGCTGGCTCCCCATCTAGCGCTTAGGATCTAAATTTAAGGTTCAGGGTATTGAATCCCTAAACCCTTAACCCTGAACCCCCAAACTCTAAACCCTTAAACTCTCCTAACCCCTAATAACCGAAAGAGGGGGGACCTTAGGGCTTCTTTGCGCGACTGCTGTGGATTCACGGCCTGCTTCTTACCTGGACCCCAAAAGTATGTACTTGGAGGTTCATGGGTAGTTCTAAGTGGGGTTGTAGAGTTGTAATTATAGTTACCTTACTTATAACCCACTTATGACTACCCATGAACCTCCAAGTAGAATTTGCAGGTTTTGGGCAATTATTCTACTCATGGTCGCTCTTTTCTCAACGCGCAGCGACAGTCAGGCTGTTCTGCTGAGAGATGTGTACTCAAAGGCTCCCCAGAGAGCCCAATACCCCTTAATTAAGGAATATAGCTTTAATCATATAGGGCTTCATGTTATGATTCAAGCTTTACTCCTTAATTAAGGGGTATTGAGCTCTCTGGGTCATGGGTTGAAGGGTAAAGGGTTTACGGCATAGGGTTGAGGATTTGAAGCTGTGGCTAGCTATGTGAGGCTGTAAGTCAGTACCCATAGGCCCCCAAAAGTAGTTCCTTTTTGGGATTACCTTCTAGAATTCTATATATGAACCCCCAAAAGGGAACTACTTTGGGGCCTATGGGTACCTTCAGTCTTGCTGTCGTGCTAAGCGCATCATCGCTATGGCTACCGTGCGTAGAGGCCTCCAGGGTGCCGTCGGTTTAGGGTTTTAGAGTTTTAGGGTTTTAGGGCTTTAGGGTTTTAGGGTTTTAGGGTTTTAGGGTTTAGGGCTTAGGGTTTATAGGGTTTACCTTCAAGTGCAACCTCCATCCTAGAAACCCTGAACATTAGACTCACTTACCGGATTATCATGCAAGCCTCCTATGTGAGGTTCCAGAAGGAAGTTCGGCTGGCTTAGGATGCAATAGTCCCCATGTGTAGCAATCATCAAGAGTAGAAGTTCGAATACAAACCACGAGCTTCGAACACAAATCTCCGCAAAGGCTTTCTGAAGAAACGGCGGATCACTGCGAGCCACTTTTCCGTGGATTCCACTTAGTCCTTGAGACCTTGGCCATTTGTTGGGTTGGTCAAGGTCAGGTTCATGAAGTCTTATGTCGCGTTTAAGATGCCGACTACATCTGGGGTTTTGGAGTGGTGAGTAGATCTAGGAATCTAGGGTTGAAGCTCTTCGTTAAATCTCGGGCTCAGGGCCGTAGGCACCGCTAGTAAATCGGCTCTTGTCCGTGCCAACCCTCCATGTGCAGCTCAACTTGTAGGATTTCAGAGCGACCCTGTGAAGCTGAGACGGAACCTCGTGTCTTAGCTGCTTCTTCACATGGAAGTTCAGATATCAAATGTGAAGGGGCAGGAGACTTGCAAATACTGTAGAGGCTGAGGGTGGATGGCTACCCCTGCCGCAAGACCTAAACCCTAAATCCCCAGACCCTAAAACACCCTCTGACTTGCAACACATCCAAGAAGGCTGCGTACTTCTTTCCCAGCATAGTGGAGAAGCGCGGCCTCGGCGACAGCTGGCAGAAGAGCTTGTGGATGCTAGACAATTTGTGATATGTGTTGCAGAGTCATTCTGAAGCTTCACAAGTCGTTGTATCCTCTTTTGTAAGGCCTGAGACTGTTGTAAGCACTTTGAAATAGATGTGTGAAACAGGCCGAAACAATCCTTCCTACTGGTCCAGTATCATTGAAATAAGTTATCCTTTGAGAGTATATTGGGATCCTTATGGTACCCCAACAAGGCCAAAGATTAAGTACCTACTCTACTAAATGAATGAATTATAGGCTTTCGACAACATGAACTCCTTTTCTGTTCGGATGAGCGCTTTCCGGAGTTGCGGCAAGATCCAGAGATCCAGGCCTCCATGAGAAGTTTCCACGTCGGCCCGCTGCAATCTAGACCACCCAGGGCGACATGACGGCCGTATGAACCTGCGAGCACGACGAAATTGGGATCTGCGCCGGCCGAGAGCAGCAAGCGCACCACGTCCGGAAAGTTAAGACTGCTCGCCAGCCAGAGTGGCGTTCTGCCATCAATGTTGCAAGCATCCTTGTCAGCACGGGCCGTCAGCAATAGCTGCACGATCTCCGTGTGTCCGTCATCACAAGCTGAACAAAGAGGCGAACCCAGGTTTCTGTCCGCCCCCGCCTCCAGCAACGAGCGCGCAACGTCGATATGGCCACCAGCACAAGCTTTGCAAAGAGGTGCTTCAGCCCCTTCTGCAACCTTGTTGATGTCCGCCCTTGCTTGCAACAGCATGCGCACCATTGCCGACATCCCTCTGCCAGCTGCTAGGCCAAGAGGTGTATCGCCGGTGGCTGTGTCATCCGTGTTCGCGCGTGCTGTCAGCAACTCGGACACCACCTCCTTGGCTGCCAGTTTGGGGTCAATGAGAAGAGACTGCTGTTGCTAAACATTCGGATCTTGCCATCATCATATACTTGCCCAACTATACTGACTTGCAAAACTTCTATCCTAACCCCAAGTAACTAATCATCTGGTCAGTGGGACCCTCAAAGAAATCCTAAACGGGTTGAAGACGGCAAGGACGTGGGTTGAGATGATGCACCTTCGTGATGATCTGGTCTGGGAAAGAATCACAACAGGGCTATGCTTCGGTGTTGCAACTGAGATGCCGGCAAACCATAACCCCACTAACCATCTAGCTAGCGCGTAAGCATAGACATACATATAAAGGTACACACACAGACACAGGCAAAGACACGGAAACATACACAGACATACAAATACAGACACAGGCATAGACATTGACATAGACAAACACACACACATACCTATAGGAACACGTATGCAGATACAGACACATTGGTATATGCACAGACATAAACATGGATGTAGGCAGAGACATATACTTATGCTCGAAGAAGCACTTCCCCTTCGGGCAGCTAGGTGTGTTTTTCGAGTGCCGGTCAGGTTCAACAGTGATGGTTCCTTCGAGCTGTTGGGCTCGGAGTTCTGGCCGTGGCTATCTTCTGTTGAAATGTGCCTGCATAGGGTTCCGGTTTAGGGACTAGCCAAAACCCACCAAACATGTCATGTCCCCAAACCCTCCTTCGCAACCCTAACTTGCCCGGAACCGCATCGCTGCTGGACCATTGCCCAGTCTCTGCCTGTTCGTTGCGAATCGCCGAGCAAAGTGCTGAGCTCGTGTCCTGGGGTGTTTAGAGGTGCAGGGCAAGGCCCGCAAGCGAGTCCCTGAAAACATCCGTTTCCGAGATAAACACTTGAAGAAGCTTGTGGGCACAACACCCCAAATCTTTTGCGCACATACCTTCAATTCCCCACCACCCTTAATGTAGGGGCCTTAATCGTTGAAATAGGGTTTTTGGGGGTATATTCTACTATAATTGTGAACCCTACGGATAAAATTGGTAACAATTTAGGCTTCTATATTACTCTCGCAGCACTCGGTCCTTGTCTGCCTTCGCATTGAGAAGCAGCCGCACCTCGGGATGATGCAGGGTTTTCTGGGATTCACACGGGTGCTCGGTTCAGGGCTTATTAGGGTTTAGGGTTTGGGGGTTTAGAGCAAGCTCGGTTTAGGGTTCATACGGCAAATCGAGGCCTGAACCCCAAAAACTTGAGGGTAAAGCTGTCATGCATCGTACGTTGTGAATGCCGTGCAAACAGAGCCATGTCGCAGAACATCCGGAGCGACAAATAGAATAGGACTCTCTGCGCATCTTTGACTTCTTTACGGATGTAGGGATGTCGGCCATAGGGATGTAGCTGCATAAAGACGATTCCAAGCTGTAGTTCGCATGGCTGGTTTGTTGAAGCTGATTTGGAGAACTGAAACGCAATCTTGCGGATTTGAGGGCCGGGGTGAATGGGGTACCTAGACTTAAATTATATGACAAGTCTGCACGGAGTCAATCCACATTCATTCGTAGGAATCACCCTCGTGTGGTGTTCTATATTTGAACCTCTGTTGGGATGCCCGAACAAGGACGTCAATCGCACACTAAGTAAGGACTACCAGCAGAACCCAATCAAAAACTAGCCTCATGGCCTTGTGAACCAAGCAAGGCTTAAGGCTCAAAGCCGTAGGTTCAACCGGAGTTCTGAATTATTGGTTGCATGATCCTCTTCTGTCTCTACATACTGGTACTAGAGCCTCTAGGATACCCAGTAGCCTAAGAATAAAAAGGCCTCTCTTTTTGGTATTGGGTAACTTTATAAGGAACCTAGGACTACAAAAAGGGAATAAGGGTACTACTGGAGATCCTAGTAGAACCTAGAATGCACCCCAAAACTCGATGATCGGCCGAGGGGCTGTCTTGCAGTGACCCCTCCCCGATGCGGCCTCCAGGGGGGTTTTGCCGTGCACAAGTGTATCGACAGTCGCCATGGCCTGCACAGTTCAGGGTTTAGGCTTCTGGGTTCGGGGTTTAAGGTATACAGTATCCAAAGGTGAAAGGAGGGACCCTTACTAAGGACCCCTAGGTATATACCCTTAATATAGCTATTATATACCCATTATATAGCCCATTATAGGGTAGGGGTCCCATGAAGGGTCCGTCCTTTTCCCCTTTGACAGTAGGGTCCGTGGCCTCCAATAACAAGCGGACTGTAACTGCATATCCTCGGAACGAGGCTCTGTAAAGCGGCGTGTCTTCCCTTGATGTGTCGTTTGCATTGGCCCTTGCTTCCAGAACCAATTTCAATATGTCAATGTAGCCTCTATCAGCGGCTATGTATACGGGTGGCCCGTCTGCCGCCCTGGTGCGTGTGTCAGCGCCTGCACCGAGCAACATTCGAACAGCTTGCGCGACTCCGCTGGCACAGGCGGAACACAAAGGGGAGCCTTTCTCCGTGTCGGCACGAGCCTCCAACAACAAGCTAACAACTTCCACGCGACCTTTGCCAGCCGACTTGGAAAGTGCTGTTTCTCCGCAGATTAGCGTGTCTGCGCCCGCGCGAGCCCGCAGCAGCAGGCGCACAACATCGACGAAGCCTCGCTCCGAGGCCGCGTGCAAAGATGTGCTCAGACTGTTGAGACCTGGACGAGGATTTGCGAACAAGAGTAGCTCGACAGCGTCTGTATGTCCGGACGCGGCTGCATCGCTCATTACTGGCCTCAGAACACTTCTCAGATCACACGGCTCTGCCAGAATGGACTCAGCTTACTTCAAGTCCCGAGATTGAAGAGAACTTGCCAACTGCCACTCTTTCGCGGGACAGACAACGCGGGAAGACACCATGACCAGCTGCAGCTCACTGGGGAAGTCGATCGCAGTGTTATCCTCCAACTGAGATCCGTTCTGCAACAGCCTCTGACAGAATCCTGGCACACAGACAGCAGTATTGCAATCCGCTTGCTGAATCGAGACTAGATATACTGGTAACGCATGAAAAAGAGGGTTGTGTTGCCCTTTGGCAGTGACCATATGCACAATATGAGAACCTGAAGAATTAGCGCTAGCTCTACTGCAACATAACCTTATTGTTCAGGCCCATTTACCTGACTGTCAATGAGATGTTGTGTTGGACATGGAAGTTGCCTGTTTCGTAGCACACGTCCTGGCAACCCATGCGTCCTTGCCAGATACCTCTTCAAGCTCAGAACACTGCCTCAGCTGCAACCACGGATACGCAATCTCGAGTGAAGCAGCATGGAGTTTCGGCTATCTGTTGTACTCTACATGAGCTTTGCCAACCGAACCGAATGTAGCCACAAATGAAATCTTACGGACAAAAACCCGCAAGTTGTAAGTCCATGATAACCTTCATGAACATGGTCTAGGCACTCAGGTCCAACACGTCTTCTGCCGAGAGTGTGGCCACTTCATCACCGGAAACCTTCCAGACTCTCAGCGCTGGCGGAGACACCGACGCCATGCTTTCTGCACCACTAGCCCGAGAGTAAGGGGATACTATTACATCAGTCGTTAAAAAGTGTGTTGGTAATACATCCTATACATCGACCGAGCTTCGGCGGTCCACCCAGAACACTACAGGTTTTGTGGGAGGAGTTCAAGAATAGCGAAGTTTAAAATGCAGGACGGCTTATGGTTTAGGGTTTAGGGTGGGCTAGACAGGGCTGACTTCGAATTCGATGCGCGCGGATATCGAGAAGCCTCCAGGCTTTCGGGCGCGTGGAAGATAATCTTAGGGTAATAATACAGATACGTAGTTCACATTGGGTTTACGGTTTAGGGTTGAGGGTTGGCCTTACGGTAATCACAAAGAGAACGGGGTTTGAGTTTTAACTGAAAGCGGGACTCTAGGGCTGACTGCTACCAGCTAGCCCCAGTTGAAGTCATACCTGCAACATCCTGAAACCAGAAACTGTTATAGGATCCTTAAAGAGGATTAGGGATCACTAGGCTATATACCCCCCTTGGACCCCCCTCCCTTAAGGATACTACGAAACTGAGGAAACCAGCAGGCCTTACACCGCCTAGACAATTAGCCGCAGGGCTTTCGGGCTTAGGGTTTAAGGGTTTAGGGGCTTAGGGCTTAAGGGCTTAAGGGTTTAAGGGTTTAAGGGTTTTGGGTTTGAGGGTTTAGGGTTCAGGGTTATACTAAAGTTTACCGGCATATGGACTATAAGGGGACACAAATCGCATCTGTTCAGACCTTTCCGTGGCTGTTGCAGGTCTCGCCGTGTCTTGCAGGTTAGGATAACGGATAATGTAGGGGTGAGAGTCATTCATACGGTTGATAGTATAAATCCTGCACTACCCATAATAAGGAATATACCATAATTCCCATAGTTTAGGGTCCTAAGGTAATGCAAGATTTATATCATCAACCGTACTGTTATTCCTTTTAGGAACGTGAACCCGTAGTCCTGTATGGGGCTGAGGCTCCAGGGCTTCGGATTTGGGGGCTGGGGCGGAGGATTCAGTGGGGACCATATAATAAGGATCCTAGTATTAAGGGTACCATTTAAGGGTCCTTATTATACGGATCCTACTATTTAGGGTGTTCAGGATTGGGGAGGCTTTCAGGCTACTTCCGCAACATCTATGACTGCGACACTTCGGGTGCGCACCAGTTGAAACTCGATCTGGGGATCAGAATACAGGAAACCCCATAAAGTGGGAAACCGGATGAAGGCCAAATAGTGCGGGGATGCCCTATACATTACTCTTAAGGATTGAGGCTATTGGGTTTCCAACTTTAGGGCTTCTACTGTATAGCACCCAGGCCTGCCTCGGCTGTAGAGTTCAGGATCGTGGATGATGGGTTTAAGGGTTTAGGGTTTAAGGGTTTAGGGCTTAAGGGTTTAAGGGTTTAGGGTTTAAACGCCAAACCTGAAACCCTAAACGGTTGCGGTCTGATGGTTAGCAGAGGAAACATGCCGCTGAGGCATCAATTCCTAACCCCATAATCCATATAGGGGCCTTAACCATTAGAATAGGGGTTGTTGGGCCCCTTATACGATAAGGAAACCCAACATAGTAATGGTATCTATTTTAGGCACCTATAGTAACTATTCTCTATTTCTTCCTATGGGTTGGGTTTAAGGCTTCGGGGTACTACTTCGTACCACTACTACTGGCATTATATAATATTATTGTTGCATGTACTCTAGACGTCTAGACCCTAGACCCTAAAGGGAACTCCAGAAAGTTGGAATATGGTTTCAGGGTAGGATACCTTATACTTTACCATAAGGGTTTAGGATAATCATATTCCAACTTTGTGGCTTTAACTGTAAAGGGGTCCTCATAAAAAGGATCCTAGTATTTAGGGTGCTATATTAGGGTGCCCATCTTTTCGGAAACTCTAAACTATCGCAGACACATCAGCGAGGCTTCGGCGTGTCGTCGTAGGGATCCACCGTCGAGCGCCGAAGGATCGAATCTGCAGGTCTCCCTGGTCATTTCGGGTTACTTAGGATTGAGGGTTTACGGGTTTAGGGGTTTAGGGGTTTAGTGTTTAGGGTTTAGGGTTGTAGAGGTTGAGGGTATAGAGTTCAGGGTTTAGGGGTTTAGGGATTTAGGGTTTAGGGGTTTAGGGGTTTGGGGTTTAGGGTTGTAGAGGTTGAGGGTATAGAGTTGAGGGTTTAGGGGTTTAGGGGTTTAGGGTTTAGGGTTTAGGGTTGTAGAGGTTGAGGGTATAGAGTTCAGGGTTTAGGGGTTTAGGGATTTAGGGTTTAGGGGTTTAGGGGTTTAGGGGTTTGGGGTTTAGGGTTGTAGAGGTTGAGGGTATAGAGTTGAGGGTTTAGGGGTTTAGGGATTTAGGGTTTGGGGGTTTAGTTTTTAGGTTGCTAGGTTTGAGGCTGAGGGCTGGTTTAAGGTTCATGTTCGGGTGTAGCAGGGTTGATCAAGGCTTTTATTCGGGTTTACAAGGTATTTTATCGTGGTTGTGTTGGCTTTTCCACTATGGTGTTTTTGGGGTTCAAAACAGTTTTACCAGAGTTTACTGGATAAGATTCTATTGATACTACTAGTAGCGGTTCGGTGTATATTGTGCCTTCATGTATATACGAGTAAGCATATAGGACCGGAACGAAAAGCACATATCACCCGCCATTCAGACCTCTGTGTTGGGGGCTTTCGTTTTTGCTGCTCAGGCGTTTAGGCGGTTCAAGACTCTAAGATCTCCTTGGCAGGTCAGGCTGCATACGGCTACGTAGGACTCAAGAAATCCCCAAGTGGGCCGGCCCCGAACTTCGATTGACAATGCAGCGAGTATCACCTTACTTCCAGCCGACCTTCGAAGTCCCGCTGCGAAGACGAGTACTGATACCAATTATATACTAAGCTTCTCTAGTACTAGTACTAGTACGAAGACGAATACTAGTACAACTTTCAATACTATTACCATTGCTGCGTACTTACTCATGTTCAAGGTTTCATCATGTTCGAGGTTGAAGGCTTCGGGTTTGGAGTTTAGGGCTTCCAGCAACCTTACTTGCAGAGGCTAACCCTAAAGCCTAAACACCATCAACCGCACAACCTGAACCTCAAGACGGCCTCAAACGGCGTGGGAGAAGGGCTTCATCCAGGGCACAACGCCCCAACAACCGAAACACCCACCACCCGAAGAGCCCTGGCCCTGCAAGCTTTTCAGAATGACTTTCATTCAAGTCTAAAGTTTATGCTAAGGCCCCAAAGTAGTTCCTTTTGGGGGTTCATATATAGAATCCTATAAGCCTATAGGGTACTCCCAGAGAAGAACTACTTGAGGGGCCTATGGGTGGGTGCGAGGGTTGGTTGGCCAAAGCCACGAACTGGCTCAGTCCATTTTCGACAAGGTGTGGCTTGCTGAGGACTAGAACTGGCAGCTTGTCTGATGATAATGGCTTCAAAACTATGACGGGGTTTAGGGTTTTAGTATTTGCTTTAGCAGCTCGGGATTATGAACATATTAAGGGTTTCGGGTCTAATATTTCCTTTATCGTAGCCCGCATAATTATGATATTGTGCCGGGCCTTGTTACATGCCTCATTTTGCTGCAGCTACACCCGGTACCCTATACACACCTGCGAAACCGTAAAGAAGCAACACAACGCCCATAAGCCTTAATTGAAAGAAACACCATAATAACGGGGCTTAACACTTGGAACAGGGTTTTGGGTTACATTAGAGTATAGTTGTAATCAGGAACCCCAAAATGTAAGCCCCCCATATACGCCCTTTAGCGTACGACCGCTGTGAAAGAACCAATATCTGGACCCCAAAAGTATGTACGTAGAATAATGGCCATTTATAAGTTCTGGGCTAGTATTTTACTTATATACTAGGGCCCTATAAGCCCTAAACCCTTAACCCTAAGTTTAGGTCTCGGCCTGAGCCGGCGTCGTCCCAGCCAGTGCCCAGCCCCGTCTTCGTGACGAGGTAGCCCGGCCCGCGGCCGTAGGCGGCTGGGAGGCCAAGGCGATTTAGGGTTCAGGGTTCCTTTAAAGGGTACTTTTGGGCTTCCTTTAAGGGATCTATACGGTTTAGGGTTTAGGGGTTAGAGTTTCGGTTCAGGGTTTAGGATTTAAGGTTTAGGGTTTCGGGCTTTAGGGTTTTAGGGTCTGGTCAAAGGCGATTTAGAGTTTAGGGTTTAGGGCTTAGTGTTACCGGGGAAGGGGGAGGTGGCTAAGTTACAGGGTAATGTAGGAACCTAATTA